TGACCTCTTGTCAGGAGTCGGTGTGAGATTGATTGCACTCTCTGAATTTTCACCGATGAGCTGCAAACACTCGGCCATATTGTTTGGGTCAGGGGGGTTAATTAAAATAACGGCGCAACTCCGGATTATGAAAATGAGTGAAATTTTATCTTATTTTTTCAGATGAACGCGACGCCATCCAGAAGAAGACCTTCACCAAATGGGTTAACAAACACCTGAAGAAGGTGAGTCATTATTTCCGTCATATTTCACGTGAATGTTTATTTTATTTTTCATAATAATGGGGGATTTTTTAACAATTTTATGAAAATTGAAAGGACAATTCAATTGATACATGAATCAACATTTCGAATGCAATCGAGTTTCCTGGAAATTTTCACAGGTTTCAATGATATTTAAATTTACCCCCAGTATGCAGCTAATTTAAATGTCTCTCGAATTGAAAACACCTGATAAATTTTTCCATGGAGAAGGTGAGGCTAACGAGTCCCCGGTGCAATTCCATGACTTATTTATGAACCACGAGAGCGTTAGAATGTTTTACTATTATTCTGAATTTTTTTTTCTCTCGGATTATTTCATTGGAATACGGAATTCATCGAGCGTTAACGAGACAGCCATTAAAAATCGATATGGAAATTGATTTGCCATTTATTGGGAATGCATTTATTTGGGAATTTTATTTTCTGTCGTTATAGCGAATTACAGATAGATTTACAGGAGAATCTGTTATTGGTAAATCGATGAAAATCGGTATGATACGTCGATTCGTGCGGTATTTAAAATTATCTGGGTGAATAATCTTCGGTGGGATTTATTAAGACTCATGAAAATTAATATTTTTGCGAGATTGAGGGGGAGATTGGCTGATATGATCGCTTGGGGATTAATATGATTTCATTAATCAGGGATCGTGACGGTTGGAGTAAGATATCGGCAATTTAGGCGGGTAATTTTTGCCTTCTCGATTCAGGGGACTTCTCAGGTATTGCGGATCGAGTTAATTATCTGTTTACGAGAGCGGGTATGTTGTTTGCTCTTGATATAACTAGGGCATCTCGTCAGTCCATCGATGATGTATATCGGAATTCATTTGGAAATTAACGGAAGAGCCGTTCTCACCCTGATGTTCAGATTAAACAATTCATAATGCAATTTAGTCGGGTTTAATTTTTACTGGTTATTGCACAACGTATGAACTCGGAAAGAAATTTTTATTCTCATTTTTTTTTTGGTTAAAAAAACGAGTTTTGAAAAATATAACTGGTTTAAATAATAATTATTATAACTCCGGGGTAAAAAATTATCTCCTCGTTTTTTAAATGGTGATTACGG